GCCCGGCCAATGACTTCTTTTTAAAGTACAGTTTCACCTTGACACAATCTCAAACCCACACACGAGGCAGACACTTGTAATTCGGTGTGATATTTATTGCGCACTCTCGTGGCCAGACACAGTTCCGGGTGTCCTGGGGGATCCAGCAAGGGGACAGCAGCTTCCTGCCCTCTTGTCGCCAGCACCGCAGCCGGGGGGAGGGAGAGGAAGGGCAGGTGTGCAGAGTGTGGTCCCCGGCAGCAGCGGAGGGCGGAGAGGACACACAGGCGGGACAGCTGAGGGGGTGGGTGGCTCAGGGGATAGGGCAGGTCACTCCAGAAGAGCCCTCCAGTGACACCTGTCAGGCAGCAGAATGAAAGGGAGACTTTGGGCCGTGTGGCTGTCTGGGGGAAAAGCATTTTGCAGTGAACACGGCACGTGCAAAGGTCCTGGGGCAGGAACCCTGCTGTCTGAGGACCAGCGAATAAGCCAATAAGGTCCCTACGCACGGTCTCATTTAATGTCCACGATCTTCCAGATGGGGAGTCATTGACCCCACGTTATCTACAAGGAAACTGAGGCACAGAGAGGAGACAGTCCCACAGGTGGCCCGTGGGTGAGGCAGAATTTCGCCCCAGGTATTTAAAATAATAATTATGGTGATTGTAATAACAGCCCAAGGTAGGTGCGCGTCGGGAGGAGGCGTCAGCAGCTGTTCCTCGGGGGGCTGGAGCGGGAACCCAGAAAAGGAGGTGATTCCGGGTTGGAAGGTTCGCGATGGCCAGTGACAAGAGTTTGTGGCTCCCGGGGCTTGGGGACAGGGGGCGTGAGACGGCCCCAGAAGGCACCCTGAGTGTCGAGTGGACGAGGACCCGATCGGGTCGTGTTCGCTTCTGCCTCCCAGCTGGCAGCCCAGGGCCTGGCGTCCGGTAAATGCCCAGGAAACCGCGTGACATGAAGGAAGACGGGAGCACACACTGTTCCAGGGAACAGCAAGAAACGAGGGGTGTGCTCAGAGGACGACGTCTGGGGCTCAAGACAGGAGAAGACGCTTAGCGGCCTCGAACTTAGAGGGGAGGCGGGGGGTGAAGAATTTGTCCCCTTCCCAGACGCACAGCTGGGCCGAGGAGCGTTCTCAGGGGACTAGAGCCCGACACGGAACGATCGCGACACTCGGCCAAGTCCCCAACCGCCGAGGCTGAATCCCGGCGCCGGCCTTAGACCCATTTTACGGATGGGGACAGTGGAGGCCGGCAGCCTCAGTGGCTGGCTCAGGGGCGCAGCTGGCTCGGAGCCCCAGGCGGGGGGTGGGGTTCAGGAGGGATAAAGGGGGTCCCCTGTGAGGGGGTCCCCACCCCCAGCTGGCCCTCGGGCCCGTGTCCCCGGCTTTCCCATTGCTC